GACTACTGAGGTTGAGACTGAAACATAATTTAAATGGAAAGTGAATGAATATTTGAAAAAGAGTATTTCCTATGGATCTAGATGTAGAGGAGATTCAGAAGAGGGGGCAGTTATGAAGGCTGAAGTCCCAATCTAATGCTGTACTTTCTATAATTCAGTGAAAACTTTTTCCTTTGAATGACTGATGGAAATGACAAGCATGTGACAAGTAATTAATCTTGGTCTTTAAAATCCTACCTTTAACAAAACAGCTAATCTCTATAAACAGGCTCTGAATCAATACTGTCTAATCTAATTATATCAATCATCTATAATGATAAAATTGATATTTTTAAACAAAAGTATTGCAAAGATATAAGGGCCTACCAACTGATTAAACCCAAACGTGTAGACTGAATTTATAATTTTCACAGTTATATCCTTATCCAGCCATAGCTTTGCGGAAATAATGATAGAGGCTCTTTTCCCAGTCTAACAAAAAAAGTTAAAAACTTCTGCCACACAGATGAACAATCTCCAACCAGCAGACCATCAGTTTTATGGTCCAAGCAAACTTCGCCAATCTTCTAAAAGCCCTAGTTTAACTCTTGGCTTTGAATTTTCCGTGTTTGCTTTGACTCTAATCTGAACTAATAATATGCACATCGGATTAATCCAAACTGAATGGGAAGAATAGGACAAGGGGACAGAAATTTAAACAATGAAAGGACACCGTGAAGACTGACATAGGGAAGTTTGTCCTCGGAGAACAGTTAACACATGGAACGAGCTCCTAGGTCAAATAGTGAAGGTGGTATCCCTTGAAACTGGCATTGAACTATTTGGCTATCAGAATGATGGAACTGTAGTTTTTTTTTCTGAATGGATGTCTTAAATGAGTGAAAAAGCTTTACTCCTCTTTTGAAATAATAAGTGAAATAAAATTCAGCTTTGACTGCTCTGCAAAATGCGTGGATTTCATTCTGTTGACTCAAGTGGAATGGAAATTCCAGTAGATATTTAAGTGAGACTTCCTTTCTTAGGTCCCATTAACACTGCCAACCTCGGAAAACATTGTGGAATTCTGTTTTCAAGTATGAAGTAGCCATGAAGTAGACACGAGTAAGGTGGTGGAATGTTTGTTGCATGGTTGCATCATATCACTGATCACCATCTCTGGGCTGTCCTTTCTCAAAACACCAGTTTAAACAGTCTAAAACATTACAAGTTCAGTATGTTTTTACGCATCTTGTTGAAGCTTGCTAGTCAAGAACATTTGCTATGTTCTGTAGCTGCACAACAACTTCAAAAGATGATTATGGTATCTAGGTCAGTTGATTTAAGGGAACCGTGAAGACAAAGCACGGATGTGGCAGATGAGCAAAGGGTATCTGAACATCTGAGCATAGCGATGGAGCGGCAGATAGTCATACACCTTGGAGTTGTGGTGGCAAAGAATCAAGACTCCTTATTTAATTGCTTTGAGGACGGACAGTGTCACATTAGAAAACTGCCTCTGTTGCAGAGGCATTTCTATTGCCTGTCTTTGGGATGTTCAAGCCTCTTCAGATGCTCACTGCTCAGCTCTTGAACAAGATTTTTCAGCATTTCCAATGCCAGTCGGTCACCTTCCAGTCAATTAAACAGATTTCCCAGGAACAAAAACAGAAGTTGCTGGAAAAGCTCAGCAGGTCTTGTAGCATCTGTGAAGAAAAAAAATCAGACCTAACGTTTCCGGTCTGGTGACCCTTCCTCAGAACCAATGGTAGCTAGGGAAACGTCAGTTTATATGCAGAAAATAGGGAGGGGGATGGGGTAGAAAGTAAACGATAGGATAGAGCCTGAAGAGAGAGAAGAGCAGTTGGATAGACAAAGGAGTTGATAACGATCTGGCTAGGAGAATGAATAGTTGTTAATGGGAATTGTTAGTGACTAACAATAGGTAGTGTGTAATGGCAGGCTGTGTGATAACAAGGCCTGGCGTGTGAGGTAGGCGTTCAGGACATGGGAGAGTTTAGGCCCTAAAATTATTGAACTTGATATGGAGTCCAGTGGGCTGCAGGGTCCCCAAGCGGAAAATGAGGTGCTGCTCTTCCAGCTTGCATTGAACTTCGCTGGAACACTGCAATTGGCCAGGGAACAGAGTGGTGTGTTAACAGGCAACGGGTAGCTCAGGGTCTTTTTTGCAAGCAGAACGTAGATGTTCTGCAAAGTGGTCACCCAGTCCACGCTTTGTTTTGCCAAAGCGGAGGAGACCACATTGTGAACAGTGAATGCAGCAGACTAGATTCTGGGAAGTGTGGGTGAAGTGTTGCTTTACCTGGAAGGCATGTTTGGGCCTGTGGACAGTGTGGAGGGAGGAAGTAAATGAGCAGGTGTTGCACCTTCGCTGGTTGCAGAGGAAGGTGCCGTGGGGCTGTGGGGTGTTGGGAGGTGAAGGAAGAGTGGACCAGGGTGTTCCGGAGGGAACGGTCCCTGCAGAAGGCGGACATGGGAGGTTTCCCAGTTTTTTCTCTCTCTCTCTCTCTCTCTCTCTCTCTCTGTCTCTCTGTGTTTCTCTCTCTCTCTGTCTCTCTCTCTGTCTGTCTGTCTGTCTGTCTGTCTGTCTCTCTCTCTCTCTGTCTCTCTCTCTCTCTGTCTCCCTGCTTTTCTCATTCCCTCACTTACTGACTCCACACCCCACTGCCTCTTGTATGCCATTAAATTTGCAGCCAATTTGCACTCGCCATTGCGATAATGAGGAGATAATCTGTGGTGAAGTAAAATTTGGTCAGAACACTGGGTAAAAATATCCTGCTCCTCTTTTAAAATAGATTATAGAATTGTCTATGTCCAATTTAGAGGGCCTTACTTTAACACCTCATCTGAAAGATGGCACCTCTGACAATGCAGTGCCCCCTCAATACTGCAGTGGAGTTTTAGCTTGGATTTTATATTCATATCTCTGGATGGGCCTTGAAACATTGATTCTAGAAATGATCATGTTACCTCTGAATTACAGAAAAGCCACAAGGACGACTATGTAGTAGATAGAGTTATGTACTATTGTTTATTCACTCAGAGGATGTGGATGTCCCTGGCTGGGCAAACATTATTGCCCGTCCCTAGTTGCCCTTGAGAAGGTGGTGGTGAGCTGCTTTCTTGAACCACTGCAGTGCATGTGCTATGTGTATACCCATGTGCCCTCAGGAAGGGAATTGCAGGATTTTGACCCAACGACAGTGAAGGAACAGCAATATATTTTCTAGTCAGGATGGTGAGTGGCTTGGCGGGAACTTAGAGGCAGTGGTGTTCCCATATATCTGCTGCTGCTCCTCTTCTTGATGGATTTGGAAGTGCTGTCTAAAGATCTTTGGTGAATTTCTACAGTGCATCTTCTAGTTAGTAGCAGCGGTGTGTACTAAGTGTTGGTGATGGAGACAGTCGATGCTTGCAGATGTGATGCCGATCAGTTGGGTTGCTTTATCCTGGATGGTGGTGTCAAGCTTCTTCAGTGTTGTTGGAGCTGTACCCATCCAGGTGAGTGGGGAGTATTCCATCGCACTCCTGACTTGTGCCTTATAGATGATGGACAGGCTTTGGGGAGGTCAAGAGGTGGGTTACTCACTACAGTGTTCATAGCTTCTGACCTGCTCTTGTAGCCACTGTGTTTATGTGGCTAGTCTAGTTGAGTTTCTGATTAATGATAACCCCCAGGATGCTGAGAGATGGGGATTCAGTAGTGGTAATGCCATTGAATGTCAAGGGGCTGTAGATTGGTTGTTGCATGGCATTTGGCATAAATATTCCTTGCTACTTGTCAGCCCAAGCTTGGGTATTGTCCAGATGGCGTTGCATTGAACATGGACTACTAAACATTGTGCAGTCATCAGTGAACATATCACAGAAAAGTACGTGTAGAAGTTTGGATTTAGTTTCAAAGTTATTAATGAGATGAATAATTAAGGTCCGAGAGCTGTCTCCTGAACTGTATTGAACAAAACCTGATGTTGAACAATGGCAGCTATAACTATTGGTTATCCTTCCCTGCATTGCAGAGAACATTCCAAGCAAATTCCGAAGTTCGGTACCTACCATGTATTGCCCAGTTATGGTGGAAACCAACGCACAAATCATTAAATTTACCCCCAGTCACATACCCCTTCCCGTGCCCAGATGATAATTGTCTCCTGAGCAAAACAGTCATTACGTGAAGGAAGGTGTGTACAAGATTATGGGTCTTGTACAAAACCTTCGCACTGGAATTGTTGGTTTCTTTAGAAAATGTTTACAGTCATAAGGTAACAACTTTTATTGCAGCAGACTCTGTGGAGCACATTTCATGTTGGCAATTTCCTACCAGGAACACACATTAGAAAATAATGAGCATAATCTCTAATTTTTAGTTCATTACCTTTAATGGAGAGAATATGATAGGGAACATGCCACGTTCTCTTTATACGCACTTCTGAGAGCTAAGACTCCTGTTGTGAGAAAATTGGCTGTCTTGCACTTTGCCTCTTAGATTGTTGACAACTTATGAATTGTTTTCTGTGCAACTGAAGAATGAAATGACATTAACAACAAGAAAACAATCCAATCTTCTCACTCATGGCCAACAATTTCAATTTGAATACTACATCTCTTAGTTGATTTAAAAATAATTAATGCCTACACACAGCAATCTGAATGTGCAATTACGCACAGAATATTTAAGGGCTCTAACATGTATGCATCCATCTCTTTAAAACACTCCTTTAAAATACTACTTTTCAACCAAGCTTTTGGCTACCTGTCTTAATGACTTTTTTTTTGATTCAACAAATTTTTTTTGGATTATGATCCTGTGAAATGCCTCGTGACATTTATGATGCTGAAGGTCCCTTATAAATGTGAGTTGTTGTTGAAAGGATATCGCATCAATCCTGTTATGGTGTATGAGCCTGTAAAACAACCACAACAGTTGCTTTTGACATTCTGTTTTCCAAACACAGACTTTGCATTTGTATCTCAATTTATCTCATTCTTTCTTTGTCTTATAGTTACGAGAGGAATTTGATCGTGGTGCGGATGTTGTTCTTGACGAAGAGCACAGTGTTCATGATGTTGGGGCCTTGCTGAAGGAATTTTTGAGGGATATACCAGATCCTCTGCTCACTAGAGAGCTCTACACTCCATTCATCAGTACACTTTGTAAGAGGATGATATTTCTTATTTATGTTTACTTCAACTATAAATCTTTACAATGTAGTGTATATGTTATTTTACTTGTATCTTGAGGTGATTATTGCTATTGTTATCACATCGCATATACCTTTGTCTTTAGTGGTGCTATTCCTGCCT